GTGTGTACACGTGTGTGTGGTGTGTACACGTGTGTGGGTGCCGTGTGTACGTGTGAGTGTGTGTGCGTGAACTCTCTCACGGGCCCCAAGAGATGGAGAGCGTCCCGTGTGTGTGTGTACAGTGTGGTGTTACACGTTGTGTGTACACGTGTGTGTGTGTACACGTGCGTACGTGTGAGTGTGTGTGCGCTCTCTCTCACCGGCCCCACGCGCTGGATGATGACGTCCCTGACCTCGACCCAGCCCTTGAGTGACAGCACCTCGAAGAGAGCGAGCATGGCGCTGCCCACGTTGTCGAAGTTGAAGTTACGAGGGTTCGCCCTGGACACAACAACAACCACAATAACAACAATAACAATAACAACAATAACAACAATAACAACAATAACAGCAATAGCAACAATAACAATATCAACAATAACAATATCAACAAAAACAACAACAACATTAGCAACAATAACAATATCAACAATAACAATAGCAACAATAACAATAACAACATAACAACAATAACAAACAACAATAACAGCAATAGCAACAATAACAATATCAACAAAAACAACAACAACAATAACAACAATAACAACAATAGCAACAATAACAATATCAACAATAACAATATCAACAATATCAACAATAACAACAACAAAAATAGCAATAACAACAACAACAATAACAACAATAACAACAACAATAAAAGCAATAGCAACAATAACAATATCAACAATAACAATATCAATAATAAAAACAACAAAAATAACAACAACAATAACAACAACAATAATAACAATAACAACAACAATAACAACAAAAACAACACCAACAATAACAACACCAACAATAACAACAACAACAATAACACAACAATAATAACACCAATAACAACAGTAACAACGCAACAACAATAACACAACAACAATAACAACCACTCAACAACAACACTAGCCACAACACAGCGGCAATAATAACACAACAACAACATAGTAACAACACAACAACAATAACACAACAACAACATAGTAACAACACAACAACAATAACACGACAACAACAATATTAACAACAATAACACAACAACGACAACAATATTAACAACACAACACCAATAACAGCACAACAACACAACAACAATAACACAACAACAATAACACAACAACAATATTAACAACACAACAACAACAATACAACAACCTTACACCCAACTAGAACAACACAACAACAATAGCACGACACAACAACAACAATAGTAACAACACAACAACAATAACACAACGACAACAATATTAACAACACAACAACAACAACAATAACAACAACAATACAACAACCTTACACCCAACTAGAACAAAACAACACAACAACAATAGCACGACACAACAACAACAACCACTCAACAACAACAATAACAACCACTCAACAACAACACAGCGTTCAGCGCTACGAACCCGCTGTTGTGTTGTTGTTGTGTTGTTAGTGTTGTTGTTGTGTTGTTATGTTTTCATGTTGTTGTTGTGTTGTTATTGTTGTTGTGTCGTTATGTTTTTGTGTTGTTGTGTTGTGCTTTATTGTCGTTGTGTTGTGGCTAGTGTTGTTGTTGAGTGGTTGTTATTGTTGTATTATTGTTGTTGTTATTGTTGTGTTGTTATGTTGTTGTGTTGTTGTTGTGTTGTTATTGTTGTTGTGTCGTTATGTTTTTGTGTTGTTGTGTTGTGCTTTATTGTCGTTGTGTTGTGGCTAGTGTTGTTGTTGAGTGGTTGTTATTGTTGTATTATTGTTGTTGTTATTGTTGTGTTGTTATGTTGTTGTGTTGTTGTTGTTGTGTTATTGTTGTTGTGCTGTTATGCTTTGTGTTGTTGTGTTGTGTTTATTGTCGTTGTGTTGTGGCTAGTGTTGTTGTTGAGTTGTTGTTATTGCTGTTATTGTTGTTGTGTTGTTGTTGTGTTGTTGTTATTGTTGTTGTTATTGTTGTTGTTCTCACCAGACCCTGGGGACCCAGAAGCCCGGCTTCTTCTCCCCGGGACGCAGTTTCAGGTTCAGCGTCTTGGAGACGCTCACGTTGATGCGGAAGATGCCCACACACTCCTCCTGCACCACCACCACCACGACACACACACAGATATATACACACACACACAGATACACACACACATACACACACACAGATAGATATATACACACACTCCTCCTGCACCACCACCACGACACACACACACACAGATATATACACACACACACAGATACACACACACATACACACACACAGATAGATATATACACACACTCCTCCTGCACCACCACCACCACCACCACCACGACACACACACACAGATATATACACACACACAGATACACACACACATACACACACACAGATAGATATATACACACACTCCTCCTGCACCACCACCACGACACACACACACACAGATATATACACACACACACAGATACACACACACATACACACACACAGATAGATATATACACACACTCCTCCTGCACCACCACCACCACCACCACGACACACACACACAGATATATACACACACACAGATACACACACACATACACACACACAGATAGATATATACACACACTCCTCCTGCACCACCACCACCACCACCACGACACACACACACAGATATATACACACACACACAGATACACACACACATACACACACACAGATAGATATATACACACACTCCTCCTGCACCACCACCACCACGACACACACACACAGATATATACACACACACACAGATACACACACACATACACACACACAGATAGATATATACACACACTCCTCCTGCACCACCACCACGACACACACACACACAGATATATACACACACACACAGATACACACACACATACACACACACAGATAGATATATACACACACTCCTCCTGCACCACCACCACCACGACACACACACACACACATATATATATATACACACACACAGATACACACACACATACACACAGATAGATAGATATATACACACACTCCTCCTGCACCACCACCACCACGACACACACACACACAGATATATACACACACACACAGATACACACACACATACACACACACAGATAGATATATACACACACTCCTCCTGCACCACCACCACCACCACCACGACACACACACACAGATATATACACACACACAGATACATACACACACACACAACACACACACAGATACATACACGCACATACACACACAATACACACGCAGATACATACACACAGACACATACATACACACAGACACATACACACAGACACATACACACACAGATACATACACACATACATCACACACACACACACCACACACACACACATACACACACACAACACACACACAGATACATATACACACACATACACAAACAACACACACACAGATACATACACACAGATACATACACACAGATACATACACACAGATACATACACACAGATACATACACACAGATACATACACACAGATACATACACACAGATACACACACACAGATACATACACACAGATACATACACACAGATACATACACATTCCCACGCACTCTTCCTATAGTGTAGTGTAGCATGTAGTGTAGTATAGCGTGTAGTGTAGCGTGTAGTGTAGCATGTAGCATAGTGTGTTTAGTGTAGCGTAGCATGTAGTATAGCGTGTAGTGTAGCGTGTAGTGTAGCGTGTAGTGTAGTGTAGTGTAGCGTGTAGTGTAGAGTAGCGTGTAGTGTAGTGTAGCGTGTAGTGTAGTGTAGAGTAGCGTGTAGTGTAGTATAGTGCAGCGCAGCATGTAGTGTAGAGTAGCGTATAGTATACAGTAGCGTGTAGTGTAGCGTGTAGTGTAGTGTAGTGTAGCGTGTAGTGTAGTGTAGCGTGTAGTGTAGTGTAGTGTAGCGTGTAGTGTAGTGTAGAGTAGCGTGTAGTGTAGTGTAGTGTAGCGTGTAGTGTAGTGTAGTGTAGCGTGTAGTGTAGTGTAGAGTAGCATGTAGTGTAGTGTAGAGTAGCGTATAGTATACAGTAGCGTGTAGTGTAGTGTAGTGTAGCGTGTAGTGTAGTGTAGCGTGTAGTGTAGAGTAGCATGTAGTGTAGCGTGTAGTGTAGCGTGTAGAGTAGCGTGTAGAGTAGCGTGTAGTGTAGCGTGTAGTGTAGTGTAGAGTAGCGTGTAGTGTAGTGTAGCGTGTAGCGTAGCGTGTAGTGTAGTATATTGCAGCGCAGCATGTAGTGTAGAGTAGCATGTAGTGTGGCGTGGAGTGTAGCGTGTAGTGTAGCACGTAGCGTGTAGTGTAATTTAGAGTAGTGTGTAGTGTAGCGTGTAGTGTAGCGTGTAGAGTAGCGTGTAGCGTAGTGTAGCATGTAGTGTAGTGTAGCGTGTAGCGTAGTGTAGCGTGTAGCATGTAGCGTAGTGTAGCGTGTAGTGTAGCGTGTAGAGTAGCGTGTAGTGTAGCGTGTAGTGTAGCATGAAGTGTAGCGTGTAGTGTAGCATGTAGTGTAATGTAGCGTGTAGCATGTAGTGTAGAGTGTAGTGTAGCGTGTAGCATGTAGTGTAGCGTGTAGTGTAGCGTGTAGTGTAGCGTGTAGAGTAGCGTGTAGAGTAGCGTGTAGTGTAGCGTGTAGTGTAGCGTGTAGTGTAGCGTGTAGAGTAGCGTGTAGTGTAGCGTGTAGAGTAGCGTGTAGTGTAGCGTGTAGTGTAGCGTGTAGTGTAATGTAGCGTGTAGCATGTAGTGTAGAGTACCATGTAGTGTAGCATGTAGTGTAGCGTGTAGTGTAGCGTGTAATGTAGTGTGTAGAGTAGCGTGTAGAGTAGCGTGTAGTGTAGTGTGTAGTGTAGTGTGTAGTGTAGCGTGTAGAGTAGCGTGTAGAGTAGCGTGTAGTGTAGCGTGTAGAGTAGCGTGTAGTGTAGCGTGTAGAGTAGCGTGTAGAGTAGCGTGTAGTGTAGCGTGTAGAGTAGCGTGTAGTGTAGCGTGTAGAGTAGCGTGTAGAGTAGCGTGTAGCGTGTAGAGTAGCGTGTAGAGTAGCGTGTAGTGTAGCGTGTAGAGTAGCGTGTAGCGTGTAGAGTAGCGTGTAGAGTAGCGTGTAGTGTAGCGTGTAGAGTAGCGTGTAGTGTAGCGTGTAGTGTAGCGTGTAGAGTAGCGTGTAGAGTAGCGTGTAGTGTAGCGTGTAGTGTAGCGTGTAGAGTAGCGTGTAGAGTAGTGTGTAGTGTAGCGTGTAGTGTAGTGTGTAGTGTGTAGTGTAGCGTGTAGAGTAGCGTGTAGAGTAGCGTGTAGTGTAGTGTGTAGTGTAGCGTGTAGAGTAGCGTGTAGAGTAGCGTGTAGAGTAGCGTGTAGTGTAGTGTGTAGTGTAGCGTGTAGAGTAGCGTGTAGAGTAGCGTGTAGAGTAGCGTGTAGTGTAGTGTGTAGTGTAGTGTGTAGTGTAGCGTGTAGAGTAGCGTGTAGAGTAGCGTGTAGTGTAGTGTGTAGTGTAGCGTGTAGAGTAGCGTGTAGAGTAGTGTGTAGTGTAGCGTGTAGTGTAGCGTGTAGTGTAGTGTGTAGTGTAGCGTGTAGAGTAGCGTGTAGAGTAGCGTGTAGAGTAATGTAGCGTGTAGCATGTAGTGTAGAGTAGCATGTAGTGTTGCGTGTAGTGTAGCGTGTAGAGTAGCATGTAGTGTAGCGTAGCGAAAGGAGGGCGTCTCTCACCTCGAGCACGACGTGAGGGTCGTTGCACTTTGCGAGTTTCCCCGCAAACAGCTGAACCCCGAAGCTCGCAAACACGAACATCAGGGTGAGCAGCAGGATGGAGACCTGTCACAGCGCAGATCACAGGGCCACGTGGTTACAGAGCCACGTGGTCACAGAACCACGTGGTCACAGAGCCACGTGGTCACAGAGCCACGTGGTCACAGAGCCACGTGGTCACAGAGTCTCGTGGTCACAGAGCCTCGTGGTCACAGAGCCACGTGGTCACAGAGCCTCGTGGTCACAGAGCCACGTGGTCACAGAGCCACGTGGTCACAGAGCCACGTGGTCACAGAGCCACGTGGTCACAGAGTCACGTGGTTACAGAGCCACGTGGTTACAGAGTCACGTGGTTACAGAGCCACGTGGTCACAGAGTCACGTGGTCACAGAGCCACGTGGTCACAGAGTCACGTGGTCACAGAGCCTCGTGGTTACAGAGCCACGTGGTCACAGAGCCACGTGATCACAGAGCCACGTGATCACAGAGCCACGTGGTCACAGAGCCACGTGGTCACAGAGCCACGTGGTCACAGAGCCACGTGGTCACAGAGTCACGTGGTCACAGAGCCTCGTGGTCACAGAGCCACGTGGTCACAGAGCCTCGTGGTCACAGAGCCACGTGGTCACAGAGCCACGTGATCACAGAGCCACGTGGTTACAGAGCGTCATGGTTACAGAGCCACGTGATCACAGGGCCACGTGGTCACAGAGCCACGTGGTCACAGAGCCACGTGATCACAGAGCCACGTGGTTACAGAGCCACGTGATCACAGAGCCACGTGGTTACAGAGCGTCATGGTTACAGAGCCACGTGGTCACAGAGCCACGTGGTCACAGAGCGTCATGGTTACAGAGCCACGTGGTCACAGAGCCACGTGGTCACAGAGCGTCATGGTTACAGAGCCACGTGGTCACAGAGCCACGTGGTCACAGAGCGTCATGGTTACAGAGCCACGTGATCACAGAGCCTCGTGGTCGCAGAGCCTCGTGGTCGCAGAGCCTCGTGGTCGCAGAGTCACGTGGTCGCAGAGCCTCGTGGTCGCAGAGCCTCGTGGTCGCAGAGTCACGTGGTCACAGAACCACGTGGTCACAGAGCCACGTGGTCACAGAACCACGTGATCGCAGAGCCACGTGGTCGCAGAGCCACGTGGTCGCAGAGCCTCGTGGTCGCAGAGCCACGTGGTCGCAGAGCCACGTGGTCGCAGAGCCACGTGGTCGCAGAGCCACGTGATCGCAGAGCCACGTGGTCGCAGAGCCACGTGGTCGCAGAGCCTCGTGGTCGCAGAGCCACGTGGTCGCAGAGCCACGTGGTCGCAGAGCCACGTGGTCGCAGAGCCACGTGGTCGCAGAGCCACGTGGTCGCAGAGCCACGTGGTCGCAGAACCACGTGGTCACAGAGCGTCATGGTTACAGAGCGTCATGGTTACAGAGCGTCATGGTTACAGAGCGTCATGGTTACAGAGCCACGTGGTTACAGAGCCACGTGGTTACAGAGCCACGTGGTTACAGAGCCACGTGGTTACAGAGCCACGTGGTCACAGAGCTACGTGGTCACAGAGCCACGTGGTCACAGAGCCACGTGGTTACAGAGCCACGTGGTCACAGAGCCACGAGGTTACAGAGCGTCATGGTTACAGAGCCACGTGGTCACAGAGCGTCATGGTTACAGAGCCACGTGGTCACAGAGCCACGTGGTTACAGAGCCACGTGGTTACAGAGCCACGTGGTTACAGAGCCACGTGGTCACAGAGCCACGTGGCCACAGAGCCACGTGTTCACAGAGTCACGTGGTCACAGAGCCACGTGGCCACAGAGCCACGTGGTTACAAATCCCCGATTATCGCTGTCATCGTCATAGCAACGTTGGTCGCCACGACGACCGTTCTCGTCATCGTCATAGCGACGTTGGTCGCCACGATGACCGTTCTCGTCATCGTCATAGCGACGTTGGTCGCCACGACGACCGTTCTCGTCATCGTCATAGCGACATTGGTCGCCACGGCGACCGTTCTCGTCATCGTCATAGCGACGTTGGTCGCCGCGACGACCGTCATCGTCATCGTCATAGCGACGTTGGTCGCCACGACGACCGTTCTCGTCATCGTCATAGCGACGTTGGTCGCCACGACGACATTGCCATCATTCTCGTCGCGGTGACGATGGCGGGAGCAGCAGTGCTCACCTGGAGGATGCTCCTCCGGCATCGTCGCCACGACGATCGATTACGAAGCGGAAAAAATACTTTATGCGAAACAGGCTTCCCCATAGTGATCAGTGTTAACGGCGGGGGTTGCGTTCCGCCAGCATTCCTCACCAGGAAGATCTCCTTGAAGCCGCTGAACACCTCCCTGACCACCTTCCTCATCTGCGGCACGAGCTTGAAGATGCGCAGCGGTCGGAGGCAGCGCAGAACCAGCAGCAGCTGCACGCCCGAGCTGGGAGCCACCGAGCGTGGCAGCCAGCACAGGAAGATGAGGCTCACCTGCAAACGGGGTTGATGGGTAGAGCCACGAGCCAACGACTCACACACTGAGCCAGCCACAGACTCAGCTACACCCAGAGCCTGAGACACAGACTCACACAGTGAGCCAGCCACAGACTCAGCTCCACCCAGAGCCTGAGACACAGAGTCACACCCAGCCTGAGACACAGACTCACACTCACCCAGCCTGAGACACAGACTCACACTCAGCCTGAGACACAGACTCACACCCAGCCTGAGACACAGACTCACACTCAGCCTGAGACACAGACTCACACCCAGCCTGAGATACAGACTCAGCTACACCCAGCCTGAGACAGACTCACACCCAGCCTGAGATACAGACTCACACCCATCCTGAGACACAGACTCACACCCAGCCTCAGACACAGACTCACACCCAGCCTGAAACACAGACTCACACTCACCCAGCCTGAGACACAGACTCACACTCAGCCTGAGACACAGACTCACACAGTGAGCCAGCCACAGACTCAGCTACACCCAGAGCCTGAGACACAGACTCACACCCAGAGCCTGTACCAGCTAGACCAGGGGTCCTCAAACTTTTAAACAGGGGGCCAGTGCTCACCAGCGCAGCCCAATGAGTGCTCACCAGCGCAGCCCAATGAGTGCTCACCAGCGCAGCCCAATGAGTGCTCACCAGCGCAGCCCAATGAGTGCTCACCAGCGCAGCCCAATGAGTGCTCACCAGCGCAGCCCAATGAGTGCTCACCAGCGCAGCCCAATGAGTGCTCACCAGCGCAGCCCAATGAGTGCTCACCAGCGCAGCCCAATGAGTGCTCACCAGCGCAGCCCGATGAGTGCTCACCAGCGCAACCCAATGAGTGCTCACAAGCGCACTCAATGAGTGCTCACCAGCGCAGCCCAATGAGTGCTCACCAGCGCAGTCCAATCAGTGCTCACCAGCGCAACCCAATGAGTGCTCACCAGCGCAGCCCAATGAGTGCTCACCAGCGCAGCTCAATGAGTGCTCACCAGCGCAGCCCAATGAGTGCTCACCAGCGCAGCTCAATGAGTGCTCACCAGCGCAGCCCAATGAGTGCTCACCAGCGCAGCCCAGTCAGTGCTCACCAGCGCAGCCCAATGAGTGCTCACCAGCGCGGCCCAATGAGTGCTCACCAGCGCAGCCCAATCAGTGCTCACCAGCGCAGCCCAATGAGTGCTCACCAGCGCAGCTCAATGAGTGCTCACCAGCGCAGCCCAATGAGTGCTCACCAGCGTAGCCCAGTCAGTGCTCACCAGCGCAGCCCAATGAGTGCTCACCAGCGCAGCCCAATGAGTGCTCACCAGCGCAGCCCAGTCAGTGCTCACCAGCGCAGCCCAATGAGTGCTCACCAGCGCGGCCCAATGAGTGCTCACCAGCGCAGCCCAATCAGTGCTCACCAGCGCAGCCCAATGAGTGCTCACCAGCGCAGCTCAATGAGTGCTCACCAGCGCAGCCCAATGAGTGCTCACCAGCGTAGCCCAGTCAGTGCTCACCAGCGCAGCCCAATGAGTGCTCACCAGCGCAGCCCAATGAGTGCTCATCAGCGCAGCCCAGTCAGTGCTCACCAGCGCAGCCCAATGAGTGCTCACCAGCGCGGCCCAATGAGTGCTCACCAGCGCAGCCCAATCAGTGCTCACCAGCGCAGCCCAATTAGTGCTCACCAGCGCGGCCCAATGAGTGCTCACCAGCGCAGCCCAATGAGTGCTCACCAGCGCAGCCCAGTTAGTGCTCACCAGCGCAGCCCAGTGAGTGCTCACCAGCGCAGCCAATGAGTGCTCACCAGCGCAGCCCAGTGAGTGCTCACCAGCGCAGCCCAATGAGTGCTCACCAGCGCAGCCCAGTCAGTGCTCACCAGCGCAGCCCAGTGAGTGCTCACCAGCGCAGCCCAATGAGTGCTCACCAGCGCAGCCCAATGAGTGCTCACCAGCGCAGCCCAATGAGTGCTCACCAGCGCAGCCCAATGAGTGCTCACCAGCGCAGCCCAATCAGTGCTCACCAGCGCAGTCCAATGAGTGCTCACCAGCGCAGCCCAGTTAGTGCTCACCAGCGCAGCCCAATGAGTGCTCACCAGCGCAGCCCAATCAGTGCTCACCAGCGCAGCCCAATCAGTGCTCACCAGCGCAGCCCAATGAGTGCTCACCAGCGCAGCCCAATCAGTGCTCACCAGCGCAGCCCAATCAGTGCTCACCAGCGCAGCCCAATGAGTGCTCACCAGCGCAGCCCAATGAGTGCTCACCAGCGCAACCCAATGAGTGCTCACCAGCACAGCCCAATTAGTGCTCACCAGCGCAACCCAATGAGTGCTCACCAGCGCAACCCAATGAGTGCTCACCAGCGCAGCACAATGAGTGCTCACCAGCGCGGCCCAATCAGTGCTCACCAGCGCAGTCCAATGAGTGCTCACCAGCGCAGCCCAATGAGTGCTCACCAGCGCAGCCCAATCAGTGCTCACCAGCGCGGCCCAATGAGTGCTCACCACCGCACCCCAATTAGTGACCATGGGCCGAATAAATGTCCTCGGCGGGCCGCATGTGGCCCGCGGGCCGTAGTTTGAGGACCCCTGAGCGAGACGAACATGTCCATGGACACCAGGGTAGCCGAGTGAAGGCCAACCAGGTAGGCGAGTGAGGGTGGTAGCGCGGTAGGCGAGGGTCAGAGGTCGCAACCGGGTACCCGATACCCGTACCCTACCCGATACCCGGCTACCCGTACCCGGCCAGGTACAGGTACCCGTTTGCGACCCTGGTGCGGCCGGGTACGGGTACGGGTAGGCCGTGAGTCACTGGTGAGTCACCGTTTGTCACTCATTTCCCAACGTCTTGTCTCTTCTCACAATTCAAGTTCCTAGAATCAACCCACCCGCGCCTGCAACATGGCTTCATCCCAGAGGTCGCAATCGGGTACCCGATACCCGTACCCTACCTGTACCCGGCCGGGTACGGGTATCGGGTAGGGTACGGGTAGCCGGGTATCGGGTAGGGTACGGGTATCGGGTAGGGTACGGGTACGGGTAGGGTACGAGTACGGGTAGGGTACGGGTAGCCGGGTATCGGGGAGGGTACGGGTATCGGGTAGGGTACGGGTACGGGTAGGGTACGGGTAGCCGGGTATCGGGGAGGGTACGGGTATCGGGTAGGGTACGGGTACGGGTAGGGTACGAGTATGGGTAGGGTACGGGTAGCCGGGTATCGGGTAGGGTACGAGTATCGGGTAGGGTACGGGTACGGGTAGGGTACGACTATGGGTAGGGTACGGGTAGCCGGGTATCGGGTAGGGTACGGGTACGGGTAGGGTACGAGTACGGGTAGGGTACGGGTAGCTGGGTATCGGGTAGGGTACGGGTATCCGGGTATCGGGTAGGGTACGGGTACGGGTAGGGTACGGGTAGCCGGGTATCGGGTAGGTTACGGGTAGCCGGGTATCGGGTAGGGTACGAGTATCGGGTAGGGTACGGGTATCGGGTAGGGTACGGGTACGGGTAGGGTACGAGTACGGGTAGGGTACGAGTATCGGGTAGGGTACGGGTAGCCAGGTATCGGGTAGGGTACGGGTATCGGGTAGGGTACGAGTACGGGTAGGGTACAAGTATGGGTAGGGTACGAGTATCGGGTAGGGTACGGGTAGCCAGGTATCGGGTAGGGTACGGGTATCGGGTAGGGTACGAGTACGGGTAGGGTACGGGTACGGGTAGGGTACGGGTAGCCGGGTATCGGGGAGGGTACGGGTACGGGTAGGGTACGAGTACGGGTAGGGTACGGGTAGCCGAGTATCGGGTAGGGTACGAGTACGGGTAGGGTACGAGTACGGGTAGGGTACGGGTAGCCGGGTATCGGGTAGGGTACGAGTACGGGTAGGGTACGGGTAGCCGGGTATCGGGGAGGGTACGGGTACAGGTAGGGTACAGGTACGGGTAGGGTACGGGTAGCCGGGTATCGGGTAGGGTACGGGTACGGGTAGGGTACGGGTAGCTGGGTATCGGGTAGGGTATGGGTATGGGTAGGGTACGGGTACGGGTAGGGTACGGGTAGCCGGGTATCGGGTAGGGTACGGGTATCGGGTAGGGTACGAGTACGGGTAGGGTACGGGTAGCCGGGTATCGGGTAGGGTACGGGTATCGGGTAGGATATGGGCACGGGTAGGGTACGGGTATCGGGTAGGGTACAGGTACGGGTAGGGTACGGGTATCGGGTAGGGTACGGGTACGGGTAGGGTATGGGCACGGGTAGGGTACGGGTACGGGTAGGGTACGGGTAGCCGGGTATCGGGGAGGGTACGGGTATCGGGTAGGGTATGGGCACGGGTAGGGTACGGGTACGGGTAGGGTACGGGTAGCCGGGTATCGGGTAGGGTACGAGTACGGGTACCCGTTTGCGACCCTGGTGCGGCCGGGTACGGGTACGGGGGGTAAGGAATCAAAACCCGCTTGCGACCTCTGGCGAGGGGCTACCAGGTAGATGAAGATGTCCATGACTCCGCCGAAGTCCTTGATGATGGCCGTGGGCGTGAAAAAGAGGCCGTCCGCCAGGATCTTGAGCAGCAGCTCAACGCTCATGAAGATCACGAAGATGTACTCAGTCACCTGTGGGGGTCACGGGTTCATGCGGGGGGTCATGTGGGGTCATTGTGGGGTCATTGTGGGGTCACCTGGGGGAGTCACGGAGTCACAGGGTCACGGGGGGGGGGGTCATGTGGGGTCATTGTGGGGTTATTGTGGGGGGCATGGGGTCACGGGGTCATGTGGGGTCACAAAGGGTTATTGTTGGGTTACGGGGGGTGGACACGAGGTCATGTGGGGTCACGCGATGTCACGTGAAGTGATGGGTGGACGCAGAGGAGAACAAGCGACCTATACACAACCCCAACCCCCCTCTAACGCCCCACCCCCACCCAACCCCCACCCAACCCCACCCCACCCCACCCCACCCCACCCCCACCCCACCCCCACCCCTAACCCCACCCCACCCTCACCCCACCTCACCCCCACCCCACCCCACCCCCACCCACCCCACCCAACCCCCACCCAACCCCCACCCCACCCCACCCCACCCCCACCCCACCCCCACCCCTAACCCCACCCCACCCTCACCCCACCTCACCCCCACCCCACCCCACCCCCACCCACCCCACCCCCACCCCACCCCACCCACCCCACCCCACCCCCACCCCCACCCCACCCCACCCTCACCCCACCCCACCCCACCCTACCCCACCCCACCCCCACCCACCCCACCCCACCCTCACCCCACCCCACCCATCCCACCACAACCCACCCCACCCACCTCCACCCCACCCACCCCCACCCCACCCACCCACCCCACCCCACCCCACCCCACCCCACCCCACCCCACCCCACCCACCCCACCCACCCCACCCACCCACCCCACCCCACCCACCCACCCACCCCACCCACCCCACCCACCCACCCCACCCCACCCCACCCAC